GAGGTCTCCGGAGCCCCGGGCCTGGCCAGCCAGGGCCCCCCGCCTGCCCATCTGCTCAAGGTCACCTGCGGGGTGGGGGGGGGCGCGGAGCCCGACACACGCACCAGATGCCGCGGCCATCGGGCCAGTCGCGGGCCATGCCCGAGGCCAGCAGCAGGGGGGACACGGGCTTGTCGAAGAGGAAGTGGTCGTCGATGAGCTGCTGCTGCTCCGCCTCGGTCATGCCCTTGAGCGCGTAGTACCTGCCGGCCAGGTCGCCCTCCAGGCTGGACAGGGCTGCGGGGGGTGCGGGTGCGGGCGCGGCTCAGCAGGGCGGCGGGGGCGGGCGCCCCCCGCCCCGGCCCGCCCCGGCCCGGCCCGGGGTCGCCCCTACCTTCGGCCGCCAGCTTCTCGATGGCTCGGCGCTCCCCGCGGCTGCAGTGCGGGGGGAGGCAGAAGCCGCGGATGCTGCGGCCCGTGCGCACCCGCGAGCTCAGCACGTAGTTGGGGTCCAGGTCGTCGCCGCCCTGGGGGGCCAAGCGGGGGTGAGCGCCGGAGCCCCCGCCCCCGCCCCGCCGCCCCGGGGGGCGCCCGCACCTGCAGGTTGTCGGGGTTCAGGTCGGTCTTGTGCTCGTCGCTGGGCTTGTAGCCGCCGTGGCGGTCCTCGATGATGGGGTCGAAGAGCTCCTTGAACACGTCGTAGGACTCCTCGTCGCCCGCCACGCAGCCCACCGTCATGATGTAGGGGTGGCCTGCGGGGGGCGCAGAGGGGCCGCTGACGTCACGCCGGCCCGGGCGGCGCGGGGGGCGCGCGGGGCGGGGGGGGGGGCGCGCGTACCCGGGTTGTCCACGCCGGTCTGGATGACGTCGTCCAGCGTGAAGCCGCTCGGCGTGGACTTGGCGCGCAGCTCGGCGTACAGCTCGGGGGTCAGCACCTTGGCCATGTGGTTGTTGTGGCTGCTCAGGTCGGGGAACTCGTCCTCGGCCGGGAAGCGCAGCTTCAGCGCGTTGTGGCTGTTGGAGAAGGGCATCGCGGCTGCGGGAGCCGCGGGCTCAGCGGGGGCCGCGCCCCGGGACGCGCCAAGGTCAGCGGGGGGCCCCCGACCCGCGCGCGCCCCCGCCGGCCCCGCGCCCGGCGCCCTGGGCACGCCCCGGGGCCCCCGCAGCCCCCGCGCCCGGCGCCCTGGGCACGCCCCGGGGCCCCCGCAGCCCCCGCGCCCGGTCCCCTGGGCACGCCGCGGCGCCCCCGCGCCCCGCGGCCCCCGCGATCCCCGGGCCGCGCCCGCCCCGCCCCCGCCCCGCGCCCGGCCCCGCGCCCGGCCCCGGCCCCTCACCGGGCGGCGGGCTCCGGCGGGCGGGGGCTCGGTCTGTCGGCAGCTCCGGGAGCGACGCAGGCGAACAGCGGCGCTCGGCGCTCCCGCGGCTCTTAAGGGACGCGACGCGGGCCGCCCATTGGCCGCTATTTATAGCCCATTCATTCCATTGGGCCGCGCCGCGGGGTGGTGCCGCCGCTTTGTCCTCCGTCCGCAGCCCCCCGCCCCCTCCCCGGCCGCCCCTCCTGCTCCCCCCTCGCCGGGACCCCGCGCCGCCCGCCCGGCCCCCGGCCCGGCGCGCCCCGGAGCCCACGCGCCTCCCGCCGCAGGCGGGAAACTGAGGCAGGAGCGCCACGGGCAGCGGACACCCGGACCCGCCGGCCCGCGCGTCCCCGCGGCCCGGTCCGGGGCCGGGCGAGCGCGCGCGGGGCCCTCGCGGCAGGTATCGCCTCCCCCCGCTGCCCGCCGTCCGCGCTGGCCGGGCGCCACCGACCTTCCCAAGGTGCCCGCGGGCATCTCCGGGCGCCGCGATGCAGCGCGAAGATGCGCGGGAGGCGCCGTGTGGCAGCGCCCGGGTCCGGGCGCCCGCCTGTGACCTTGGGCAAGCGCCGGCGCCCCGGGGCCCACCCCTCCTGGTGGACGGGGAAGCACGGGACCCCAGAGGCCCAGGCTGCGCCCCGGGGCCCCAGTCAACACCCTGATCTCCGGGGCACCCCCGGACTCCAGCAAGAACGGGGTGGGGGGGGGGACGGCGAACAATGAGCGTTATGTGAGATTAGAACAAGCGCTTCAAAAGTCACAACCACGCAAATGACCACGGCCAGGCCCACGCCACCCAGATTGGCCACACGGCGTGCGTGGGGGCGGGGGGCAGGTCCTTCCGCTGCCCGCTGCTGAGAATTGCGGCTTCCGCTCTAGGAAGTAACTTGGCAGTATTTTTTGAAATTAAAAAGGCTCAGACTCCTCCGTGATCTAGGAATTAGGAATGCTGCCCGCAGGGGCCTTCAGTCCAACAAAGGGGAACCACGGGGCAGACGCGGAACGTGTGCAGCGGCTCGGCGGTGACCTGGAGCTCCAGTCCACCAGCCGCGACCTCTGGGGCATCACAGGCTGGAAGGGACTGGAGGGGTTGGCAGGTCATGGGAGCAAAGATTCAAAGAGTCGCGGTCCCTGGTTCCTGCAGGAGGCCACCCCCATCCGGCTGCCAGGGCCTGCCCAGACCTGTCCAGGGTCCTTGTCTGACGTCTATAAACACCGAGGTAGAAAGACAGTCGTGGGGGAGGGGGAGGGGGGCTCCAGACAGCAGGTGTCAGCCCCTGCAGTTCCTGCACTCCAGCCCCAAAGCTCCGATATTTTCACAAATAGCAGCCGTCCTCCCTGCCCCCACCCCCAGGGCCTCCAGGCTCGAGTTTCTGTTTCTGGAAACCAGAGCTGGACAGGCCTGGGGTGGGGAGGGGGGGGCGGGTTGTTCTCTGTTCTTCTTTGTCTCTGGTGCCTCCTCTGGAGGCCTCAAAGCCGGGCTGCCTGCCTGGGGGTGGGGAAAAGGGAGGCCCCAACTGTGGACGGTGAGGGGTGCAGTGAGCCTGGGGCCCAGCCAGGGTAGGACTTCACAGGCCTGGACCTTGAGATGGGGCTTTGGGGCCCATTTTGTGAAGGAGCAAAGAGGAAGTCAGATGGTGGGACAGAGGCGCTGCACAGGGGCTGGAGTGCGGCCCCAGGCAGCGGCTGCACGGGGTGGGGACGGGGCTCCTGGGCCCTTAGGTCTGGATGTGGGGTGAAGGGAAGCAGAGAGACCCCAGCCCCAGCCCCACTCCGAGGACCTCCATCCCAGCGCCTGCAGGAGCCGGTTTGGCTGCATCGGGCTGAGGAGCTGGGATGCGGGTGACATCATCCCACAGTTTATGGTCCGGGTTCTTCAGAAGCCACACCCGGTTACATGTTAACCCCCTGGAGCCTGGACTGCGTGTGTGTCGTTGTTTTCTGGGGGGGAGAGGAATCCTCGGGAAATTCTCGGAGGCACAGTCTGGAGTAGGCTGGGCTGAGGCCCTCCGCGGGGTCTGTGCCAGGCAGCCCTCGGGCCCCACCTCCAGCCGCCCCATGCTGGGCTCTGCAGAAGGCTGCAGGGAAGCTGGTGGAGAGTCAGCCGGGGCAGGGGCACCCAAGGTCACAGAGCACCGTAGGGTGCAAGGTCGTCACCCGATCCCTTTTCCTTCCTGTCTTAAACCTGCAGGGGGTTCTCTTCTCTGAAGCCCGTCTGCTGGCCCTGTATCCAGGTCCCTCTTTGGCCGTGTTGGCTGGGCTCCCTGAGACGAATCACCTCCCTGGGAGATGTTTTCCCTGCCTGTAGGGGGCCCTTCCCTCTCAGGCCGGAGGGGTGGGGTTGTATGAAATGACCTTAGCTAGGCATAGATGAATCTGTTCCGTAGGGGAGCCCCAAATATAAACCAAGTCTCTGCAAGTGACCAGCTGGGGAGGCCAGTGCGGAAATTCTCAGTGGAGGGCTGGCACAGAGGACCACCTGGGAAGGCTGCCTGGAAAAGGGGGCTCCCCCAGAGGAGCTGGGAAAGCTGCCTGGAAGAGGGGCAGCGTTAGGAGCTGGCCGGCAGTAAGGAGAGAGGCGAGTGGGAAGTCAGGACCACAGGAAACCACTGCCGAGTCACCAAGTCCTATTTTAGGCCCTTTCCTAAGCATTCAGCTGAGCTCCACACCACAGCTCTGCTGAAGAGGCAGGCAAAGGGGAAGCAATCAGCGCAAAGTCGAGATACCTCCCCCACCCCCAGGGGAACAATTAGGGGGTGATTCAGGAGGCTGCCTCCTCCAGGGGCCGCGCAGTCCCCGGAATGAGAGGCCCCGAATCCGTGCCGGAGCCCCGCAGACAGGGAGGGGACCCCTGGACGGGCTACTGCGGCCTCTCCTGGTCTCCCGGGGAAGGGGCGTGCAGGGGCTGGGCGGCACTGGCCTTTCCCCGCCCACCGCTCGGGAGCCCCAGCCAGGCCTGGCCGCAAGTACCCCCGGGCCGCGCCGGCAGGGCTGAGACTGGGGCAGCCAGGTCGGCTAGCGGCCCCGGGGGGCAGCTTCGGCTGGGCAGCTGGTGGCCGGTGGGGGTCGAGCAGGGCAGTGAGTCAGCTCAAAGCCCGCTGCTTCCAGGCTCCCGCGGCTCCGGGAGGTGGGGGGAGCACAGCCCGGCCAGGCGGGGAGGTGGGGGCGCACAGCCCGGCCCCGGGAGGCTGGGGAGCACAGCCCGGCCCGGCAAGGCGGGGAAGGGGAGCATAGCCCGGCCCTGCGGGGAGGGGGAGCACAGCCCGGCCCAGCGAGGAAGGGGAGCACAACCCGGCCCCGGGAGGCGGGGGAGCACAGGCCGGCCCTGCGGGGCGGGGAGGCCTCCCGCACCGTCCGCAGACGCTCCCTGGCAGCCCTTAGGGGGCCGTGTCCCTCCGACTGCGCCGGGTCCGCTCAGAGGCTTCCCGGTCGGGCAGTGCCGCCGCGGACCCCGGGGAAGACGCCGTGGGCGGGGCTCCGGGGCCGGGCGGTGACGTCATCGGCCGGCGCCGCGAGCCGGAAGTGCTGCTGCGGCGGCGGCGGCGGCGGCGGCGCGGAGCCACGTGTGGGCCGGGGGCGCGGAGCCTCGCGCGGCGGAGAGCGGGCCGGGGGCGCCCCGGGTGCCAGTGCCGGCGCGAGCGTCCGGGCGCTGACTCCGAGGTCCCCGACTCGCCCCGCGGGCCGCCCCCCGCCACGCCGCGGCACCATGAGCTTCGTGGCCTACGAGGAGCTGATCAAGGAGGGTGACACGGCCATCCTGTCCCTGGGCCACGGCGCCATGGTGGCCGTGCGCGTGCAGCGGGGCGCGCAGACCCAGACCCGCCACGGCGTCCTGCGCCACTCGGTGGACCTCATCGGCCGCCCGTTCGGCTCCAAGGTGACGTGCGGCCGCGGCGGCTGGGTGTACGTGCTGCACCCGACGCCCGAGCTCTGGACGCTGAACCTGCCGCACCGCACGCAGATCCTCTACTCCACCGACATCGCGCTGCTCACCATGATGCTCGAGCTGCGGCCCGGCGCCGTGGTGTGCGAGTCGGGTGAGGGCGCGCGAGGGGCCGCGTCTGCGAGGGGACTCGGGCTCCGTCAGGCCCGCGTGTGGGGGGCGGCTGAGGTTCGGCCACAGGCTCTGTGTGAGGACGGAGTTGGGTTCTGTCAAAGGCGTAGTGAGGGGATTCGGGCTCTCATGGGTGTGTGTGTGTGTGTGTGAGGGGACTGGGCGCTGTCATGGGGCCGTGTGAGGGGACTCGGGCTCTGTCATGGGTCTGTGAGGGGACTCGGGCTCTGTCAAGCCTGCGTTTGAGGGGACGAGGTTCAGCCACAGGTTCTGTGTGTGAAGGGAGTTCGGTTCTGTCAAAGGCATAGTGAGGGAACTTGGGCTTTCATGGGTCTGTGAGGGGACTCGGGCTTTGTCAGGCCTGCATGTGAGGAGACTGAGGTTCGGCCACAGGCTCTGTGTGAGGACGGAGTTGGGTTCTGTCAAAGGCGTAGTGAGGGGATTCGGGCTCTCATGGGTGTGTGCGTGTGTGTGTGTGAGGGGACTGGGCGCTGTCATGGGGGCGTGTGAGGGGACTCGGGCTCTGTCATGGGTCTGTGAGGGGACTCGGGCTCTGTCAAGCCTGCGTTTGAGGGGACGAGGTTCAACCACAGGTTCTGTGTGTGAAGGGAGTTGGGTTCTGTCAAAGGCATATGTGAGGGGACTAGGGCTCTGTCCTGGGTGTGTGTGTGTGAGGGGACTTGGGCTCTGTCAGGCCTGCGTTTGAGGGGACGAGCTTCTGCCACAGGTTCTGTGTGTGAAGGGAGTTCGGTTCTGTCAAAGGCATATATGAGGGGACTTGGGCTCTGTCATGGGGGCGTGTGAGGGGACTCGGGCTCTGTCATGGGTCTGTGAGGGGACTCGGGCTCTGTCAAGCCTGCGTTTGAGGGGACGAGGTTCAGCCACAGGTTCTGTGTGTGAAGGGAGTTCGGTTCTGTCAAAGGCACAGTGAGGGGACTTGGGCTCTCATGGGTCTGTGAGGGGACTCGGGCTCCGTCAGGCCCGCGTGTGGGGGCTGAGGTTCGGCCACAGGTTCTGTGTGAGGACGGAGTTGGGTTCTGTCAAAGGCATAGTGAGGGGACTCGGGCTCTGTCCTGGGGGTGTGTGTGTGAGGGGACTGGGCGCTGTCTGGGGGGTGTGAGGGGACTCGGGCTCTGTCAGGCCTGTGTGTGAGGGGACTGAGGTTCTGCCACAGGTTCTGTGTGTGAAGGGAGTTCGGTTCTGTGAGGGGACTCGGGCTCTGTCCTGGGTGTGTGTGTGTGAGGGGACTGGGCGCTGTCTGGGGGGTGTGAGGGGACTCGGGCTCTGTCAGGCCTGCGGGAGGGGACGAGGTTCTGCCACAGGTTCTGTGTGTGAAGGGAGTTCGGTTCTGTCAAAGGCATAGTGAGGGGACTCGGGCTCTCTCATGGGTCTGTGAGGGGACTCGGGCTCTGTCAGGCCTGCATGTGAGGAGACTGAGGTTCTGCCACAGGTTCTATGTGAGAATGCAGTTGAGTTCTGTCAAAGGCATAAGTGAGGGGACTCGGGCTCTCTCATAGGTGAGTGTGTGTGAGGGGACTCGGGCTCTGTCAGGCCTGCGATTGAGGGGATGAGCTTTGCCACAGGTTCTGTGTGTGAAGGGAGTTCGGTTCTGTCAAAGGCATATGTGAGGGGACTCGGGCTCTGTCCTGGGGGGGTGTGTGTGAGGGGACTGGGTGCTGTCTGGGGGGGGGTGAGGGGACTCGGGCTCTGTCAGGCCTGTGTGTGAGGGGACTGAGGTTCTGCCACAGGTTCTGTGTGTGAAGGGAGTTCGGTTCTGTCAAAGGCATATGTGAGGGGACTTGGGCTCTGTCCTGGGTGTGAGTGTGTGTGAGGGGACTCTAGCGCTGTCATTGGCCACTTTTATGGGGGGATTTGTTACAGGCTGGGGGGCTGGACTAGGACTGTCACAGGCTGCATGGGGCAGGGGGATTCTCACTGGTCACGTGTTTATAAGGTGACCTGAGCTCTGTCACAGGACACAGGATGCTTGTGAGGGAGGACTCGGGCTCTGTCACAAGCTGTGACAGAGGGACTCAGGCTTTGTTTCTGGTCATATGTCTGTGAGGGGACTGGGGCTCTGTCACAGGCTGCACGTGCATGTGGCAGGCACTCAGATTCTCACAGGCTACGTGTATGAGGAGACTCAACGCTCAGTCTCTGGATGGTATGAAGGGACTTGGGCCCTGTCACATGCCACATGTGCGGGGGGGACTTGGGCTCTGTCACTGGTCACGTGTGTGAGGGGACTCGGGTTCTGTCACAGGCCTCGTATGTGGGGAGGGGGTACTCAGGACTCCTCAGACTCTGTCACAGGCTGCGTGTTTGGGGGAACTCGGGCTCTGTCACAAGCTGTGACAGAGGAACTCAGGCTTTGTCACTGGTCAGATGTCTGTGAGGGGACTGGGGCTCTGTCACAGGCTGCGTGTGCACATGGCGGGGGACTTGGATTCTCACAGGCTGCGTGTATGAGGAGACTCAGGCTCAGTTTCTGTGTGTATGTGTGAAGGGACTTGGGCTCTGTCACAGGCCACATGTGGGGGGCGGGGGAACTCGGGCTCTGTCGTGAACCACATATGTGTTGGGGGGACTTGGGCTCTGTCAAAGACCGTGTGTGTGTGTGTGTGTGTGTGTGTGTGTGTGAGAGACTGTCAAAGGACTTGGGTTCTGTCATGGGAACGTGTATGAAGGAATTTGGGTTCTGTCAAAAGCAGATGTGGGGGGACGCGGGCTCTGTCATACGCAGTGTGTAAGGGAAATCGGGCTGTCATAGGCGTGTGTACATGAGAGAACTTGGGCTCTTTCGGGACTTGGGACTTGGGGGCATGAGGATAAGGACATACTGCAGAGCTAAGACCAAGCGCCACCCTAGGGAGGCTCGTGTCAAGGCCCTGATGGGGTGGTGGCCAGGGCCAGTCTCTGAGGTGAGCTGGGGTGGGGCGGGCCAGCGTGGATCGGGAGCTGCAGGATGAGTTCCGCAGCCGCTGTGGAGGACTGTCGAGGGAAGGTAGGGGCTGTGAGCCAGTGACCCCTCTGGGGGGGCACAGGGGGCGCGGGGAGGGGGGTTCTGAGCCTGCGGAAGGAGCAGAGATGTGAGCACAGCCCACCCCACTCTGCTCCCCCAGGCACCGGCAGTGGCTCCGTGTCGCACGCCATCATACGCACCATTGCACCCACGGGCCACCTGCACACGGTGGAATTCCATGCACAGCGTGCAGAAAAGGCGCGGGAGGAGTTCCGGGAGCACCGTGTGAGCCGCTGGGTGACAGTGCGCAACCAGGACGTGTGCCGCAGCGGCTTCGGCGTTAGCCATGTGGCCGATGCCGTCTTCCTGGACATCCCCTCGCCATGGGAGGCCGTGGGCCATGCCTGGGACGCCCTCAAGGTGGAAGGTACTGGGGTGCTCCTGGGGACCTGGGTTCGGGGATGGCCCGGGGTGGGGGGGGTGAGAGCTGAGGGAGGCGCCTGCTCAGGCCTCGAAAAGGTTCTGCCTCGCCTGGGAGGCCCAGGTCCCCTCCCAGGCTGTGTCCACTCCTCCGCAGAGTCTCGGCCCCTTTTAGGGAAGCTGGAGCAGAGCAGCCGGTGGCTCGTGGCCAGCGAGACTCTGGGTTTTCCCTTTTCAGGAGAAGGAGCCTCTCGGCAGAGGGAAGTGGGGGGGCAGAGGTGCAGTGAGGGGTCAGGCCGCTGCCAGGTTTCAGCTCCAGCTCCAGGGCGAACCTCTCTGCAGCTGCATGGGGCTGGGGGTAGCCAGACCTACCCACCAACATTGCCCCTGGACCCCAGACACCGCCGCCCCCCCCCCCCTCAATCTTGTTCCAGCACTCACCGTCTCCCACCCTCCCCACGCCTTCTCCAGTCTCCAGGTCCCTTCCCTGCTTCTCTGCGTGGTCGGTCTTTGCTCCACTTCCTACCTCCCTGTTCGGAGGGAGCCTGGAGGCCGTGGCTTCCTGGTGACTCCTCTGGCCTCCGAATCCCAGGATGGCTTCCCCGCCCCCTCATGGGAGGCCGTGGGTGGGCTTAGTGGGAGGGGGCAGGAAGGGCTGTCGCGGCCGCCCCCACCCGTCATGCTTGGAGGTGGAGCCGCACCGCCTGTCCCGGCATCCACGACAGCCTCTAATTTCCTGTGACAGCAGCAGCCCCCGCCTGCCCGCCCGCTGTGGCTGCCTGCGTGTCTGGAGCCTGTGAGGGCTCTGCACCGCCTTCCTGCCTGGCCCCACTGCCTGCTGGACTGGGGCCCAGGAGAGGGGGCCCTGCGCCGCATCTGGTCGCACCCGCCTCCTCCGCGCCCTCACGCCGGGCAGCACCCTGAGCCTTGTCCTCCCGCAGGTGGCCGCATTGGGTCCTTCTCGCCGTGCATCGAGCAGGTGCAGCGCACCTGCCTGGCGCTGGCCGAACGCGGCTTCTCGGAGCTGAGCACGCTGGAGGTGCTCCCGCAGCTCTTCCACGTTCGCACCGTCAGCCTGCCCGCCCCCGACCTGGGCCGCCCCAGCCCTGACGCCGGCCCCTTCCGCAGCGGCACCCCCATGAAGGAGGCTGTGGGCCACACCGGCTACCTGACCTTTGCCACCAAGACCCCAGGGTAGGGACCACTGCGTCCCGTTCAGCCCTTGCCCTCTGTCATACCAGGCCCCCACTGGGGGTGAGTCCGTGGGTGTCCCAGGAGGGACGGAAAAAGGATGCTTGATGTGTCCCACCTGCGTCCCAGACCTGCCTGTGCACACCCCTCAGCCCCCATCTCTGCCACCCAAAAGTGCCTTCTGTGGCCTGGCGTGGGGCTAGGTCCCTGCTTGGCCTCAGCGTGAAGCGGCCCCATCCTCTGGGAGCTGCTGCTCAGCCTGGTGCTGTTGGGGGACACGTCCAGGACACCTCGCCGGGACATGGCCTGTCACTGGCTTTTGACAGCCAAGGGTTCTCCCGGGGAGGATGGGGCTGTCCCTGCCTGACAAGTTCAGAGGTTCCGTGCGGGCGAGGAGAGGGCCCTAATAAACTTACCAATCCTGGTATGCTGGCCGGTGTCATTTCTGTTCTTGAGGCCAGACCCTCTGCACCTGTGTCCATCTGTTCTCCTGTCCTAGGGCAGGTGCTACGGGGCGCCTCATACCAGGACAGTAGCCAGATGCGGGGCAAAGGGTCCAGCGTGTGACCACCCCCAGCGGCTGCAGAACGGCCGTTTGTCCCTGGGAGCGGGAGGAGCACGTGTGGAGGCATGTCAGCCCTCTCCCCAATGTGTCTTATGAGTGGTGCTTGTGGTATGGGTTGGGGGGGCCTCCTCGTGGCCGTGGCTTTCTCAGTGTCACGTCACCCCTCCCCATCCTGTGCAGCCTCTTGTGGGAAGGGCCCAGACCCAGGCTGTAGGGCGGGGCTGGACTGTCAAGTGTGCAGCGGTGGCACCCGCGTGGGGATCTGCCCTCCTGCTTATGCACTTGCCTGTAGCCCACACTTCTCTGGGCCACACGGACCCTCCTGACCCTGAGCACAGTCTGCATCCTCAGGGGCCCACTCCAATGCCCCTTCTCAGTATGCTGCCCCACGTCCCAGGCTGGACTCCAGCTGTGACGCTGCAGGGCAGAGGCCAAGCTGCAGAGCTCTGCAGGGCAGGCCCAGGCCGTGAGGAAGCGCTCAGTGGATCTGTGATGGTTCCCTTGAGTCAGCAGCATGAGGCTGGTCACAGGGCGAGGATTCACCAGCACCTGCTCATGGTGCGTGTCCGGCGGTATCTGGTGATCTGGGTACACGGAACCAATTCCGATGCGGTCTATGACTGATGGTCAGTAGGTGCGGACTGCAGGCTGACGGCACAACGGACAGTTTTATTCAGGATGAACAGTGTTTATATAGGGGCAAATCATAGCAGTATATGTGGGATGAAGGAAGTGGTAAGTGGAGGCAAATGATTAGATTAACGGTTACGTGGGGGAAGATTGGCACAGGGTGGCTATGATCTATAAGCAGAAACCACTGTTTTTCCTAGATCCCACGTTCCAAACCCGGCCACTGGTAACTGCCAATCATTGATGTATGTTAATCTCCGGGAAATGTCAGCCCCCGCGGCACCTCTCCGGCCATCCCCTGTCTAGGTTCTGGAGTGTTCTCGCAGTTCAACCGGTCCACTTGGTTTCAGAGCTTTGCCAGCAGGAACTCTGAATGCCCCTCGCCCACTTGGAGCCAGGGACAGTGCCTGGCCTGTGCCCGACTCTGTCAAGCCCGACATCCCTGGCAGGCTGCACCCACACCCTCAGTGTGACGAGGGGAGCTCACCTGGACCTCTTCTGGCCCCTGTGTGGAGAACAGGCCCAGGGGACCTGCCTGGTGGGAGCTGTGCAAGGGTTCTAGGTGGGGGTGCAGGCTCACCCTGGGGAGCTGCATCACCCAGGCTCACGGGCTGGCGTCCGGCAGGAGGCCTGGGCGCACAATTATGCTGGGAAGTACCTCCAGACCCAGGCAGTGAAGGCTGAAGTGTTGTGTCCTGGGCTAGGATTTGGGGCTTCCCTCCCGGCTGCAGTGTGATCCCCTTCCTTCTCAACACACCCTCCTTTCCCGGAGAATCTCCCAGTACGTTGCCAGTAGGTGCTGCCACCACCTCCAAGAAGCCGCCCCTGCCCACACTCCAGGTGCCATGTTGGAGGCACTTCTGGGTCCTTTGCACGTTGAGGCCTTTAAGTGCTTTTGCGCTTCTGGGGCTGGAGTTGATGAAGGTAACTGAGCAAGACTGGACTGTGAGACTTGGAAACTCTACACCTGCCATTGGCTTCTGCCTCTAGGTTGTGTTGTGTGTGGCAGCGAGGGTAGGGGGGGGGGGGGGCACGGGACTCTCCAGTAAGGTATAGGGGCAGGTGGCAAGTGACTTGCACTTGCTGCCTGCGTCCACCTCCAAGGCCTGTCGGGGCCGGGCCACCTCTGTGTTAGTGCTCTCGGGGCTCGGGATCGACAGGAACCTGTCCCTGCTGTCCTGGGCACCACAGGCAGCTGGCGGTGGCCCGGGCATTTCAAAGTCGCAGTGTGGAAGCGGGGCCACGGGAGGGACTCGCAGCTCCCACCGGGCTGAGAATAGCTTGGAATTGGGTCAGGCTCGCCGCGCCTCAGCACAGCCTCCGCCTTGGACAGTAATCAGCTTTCCCCCGACATCTGTCCCTGCCTGCGGGCAGCAGGGCGCTCTCAGGACTAGGGGTGACTGTCCAAAAGGGGCAGTCCCCCCAGGCCCAGGCATGCCCCTGCAGCCAGCCAGACCCCCATTTCCATTCTGTACCCCAAGTCTCCCTCTGTCTTGGGAAAAGGCAGTGAGCGGAGGGGCTATTCCAGCCTTGCACAGGTGTGGGGGTTCAGGCCCCCATTGTCACCCTCCCAGTTACTCTTCTGTCCTCAGGCTCTCTGGGCACCAGGCTCTTGTCCCAGTCCCCTGGAGGGCTGGACAAATGGGGGGCAGTTGCCCACAGTCTGAGCCCCAGTGCCTGTGGCGGGGGAGGAGGAGCTCACTCGGGCCTCTGGCACCCCCAAAAGCCCCCAGGCTCCGTCTGTTTGTGCCCCGCAGCCGCGTTCCTGGCCCTGGAGGCCTCTTCCCGAGACTGCGGAGACCCAGGACCCCATATGGGGGTGCTGGGCTTGCCCCCTACCCCACCAGGGTGCTGGGCACTGGCCTGGCTGCACACAGCCCTGACCAGAAGGTGCATTTGCATCTCTTCCCTGCCCCGAGGCTTTCGGGGGCACACACCTGTGATACCGCTGTGGCCTGAACAGACGCGTGGTGCTCTGCGTGGCCCTGGTGGCTGGGAGGCCCGAGCAGGGCCCATCTGCTGCCCTTCGTGCCTGGACCGCCAGGAAGCCTGGAGCTATGCCCGGAGAATCTCACTGTTCTCTCTTACTTCCCACCTCCCCTTGCTGTGGCCTTGATAGGGCCAAGTGGCTAATGTCACAGGTCCCAGTGTCTGTCTGCGTGTTCCAAGTACGCTGCCACCAAGTGGAACACGGGAGGGGGCCACACCCTCACCATGGAATTGTATGTTCGTGTACCTGGCACTTGGGATTCTTGGGTCTGTGGAAACCCCCAGGAGTCCTGACATTCTGGGAGACAGATCATTCATTCCCAAGCTTTGCCCGCAGGCTGGGCATTGTCCAGTGTAGCAGGCTCTGGCCAAGCACAAGGACCCAGTGTCTCTCTAACTTTAGTTTCTTAAAGCCAGCAATGGGATGGAGAGGAAGTATAGCAGGTAAGTCTCCTGCCTTGCACGTGGCTGACCCCGGTTCGATGCCTGGCACCCCATAAGGTTCCCAAAACCCACCAGGTGTGGCCCCCAAACAAAACCAACCATAATACTGGGTTGATCTGAGTACTCATGCCCTGTGGGCTGGAGGGGGTGGGGATGTTTATTTCACAAATTGAGACCGACCAGCGGGCAGCGTGGTGGGCATGTTATGTCCAGGAGGGAGTACCCTGCGGGGTGCTGGGACTGCATCCCCCAGGTGCCCGGGCTTTGTCTTCCTGTGGCTGAGCCAGAGGAAAGTCCGTCTTGCATCCTCCCAGCCACTCCTCACTCAGGGATCACCAGGCCCCTCAGTCCTCCACTGTCTCTCAGGCCCCTGTGTGGTTAGGGGATGTCCTGGAGCCTCCATCTCCTGCCCAGCACCCAGCCCGCAGAGACCCCCGGCCTGACCTGTCTTCAGGGCAGTCAGTGCCCCTCGGCTTGTTTCCCTGGGGCCCTCACAGCCACCTGCCCTGGCGCCACTGACTGCAGTTTTCTGTGGCTGTGTGCAGAGAACAAAGCCAGGTCCCAGCCCCACCCCGGGCCCCTGCAGTCCAACGCGGCCCCTGCCTACAGTGTGTCCGGGCTGTGTGGCCTGTGGGGGAACGCAGCCCGTTGCCAGGCGACGGCTCAATGGACATTCCATGCACCAGGCAACGGGCAGCCAGGATCTCTGGGCGCCTCTTCGCAGCTCCCCCGCTTCCAGGCCTCAGCCGCAGCCCGGCCATGCACCCCGCAGGTCCCACCCCAAACATGGGCCACAGCCACTACTGGGAGCCTCTCTAGCACTCACACCCGTCTCCACGGCGCGGTGTGGACGGGCCAGCTCTGCTCTTGTCCCAAATATGCAGGCAGTGGCCGTCCCTTGGGCCGTGACAGAACGGGTTTTGTCCCTTCAGTGTCCACTTCCTCCCTCCGTGGCAAGACTGCTAAGGAGATCCGTTCTCAGTGCCAGCTGGCAGCCACACAGGGAGCACAGGCAGCGAGTCACCAGCGTGTCCCCCATCCCCCCTCTCGGCCACACTGTCCCCTGCTGGGCTCACAGCACAGCTGAACACCCCCACCCGGAGCCTGGCCCCCATGTGGCATCCGGACCTATGCAGCCGCCCCGGCACAGGGCGAAGCCCCCAACAAAGGCCTCTGATGCCCCTCAGTGGCCAGAGCTTGGCACAGTGGGGGCCGCTGGGCAGCTGGAGCCAAGTCCTGCCCCCTGCTGAGGAGGGGATGCCAGCAGGCACACTCCCACTGGCTCCAGACAGGAGCCCAGGCCTGCCACCCCCAACGGCACCGAGCGGGCAGAGCCCCCTCCCGCAGCCCCGCTCGCGGCCCCCCGCCGTGCCCCCCACAGCAGGTTGCAGGAGCGAAGCCTGTGGGAACCCCGCACCCCACAGCAGAGCTGATGGGGCCTCTCGAGGCTGAGACCCCGGACAAAGCGCAGCTGCAGGCGGCCTTTGTGTGTCCCGCAGCGCCGCCCCCTCCCGCCCCTGACCTCACCAAGCCACAGAAAGGGCCTTTCTTCCCGCCGCTGGGACAAAGCCAGCGACTCCTCCACAGCATAAATTAGGGGGCTGGGAGGGGGGCTCGCACAGGGACCGGGCACTGGGGCGAGCGGGAGCACAGTGCAGGAGTCCCCGTCTGAGGGGTGGGAAAGATGACTTCTGGGCGGGGGCTGGGGGGCAGGGTTGGGGGTTAGGGCCTGGGGACCGGCCCCAGGTGAGCCTGCGGGAGGCACTGACCGCTCGACGGACTCTGCTGGGGCTCCTGCACCCCCCTCCTTCTCACCTCCCCCTGCACTCGTCCTCCTCGGCCCTGCTGGCTGCCATCTCAGGCACCCGGGTCCCCAGGGCCTCCCAGCGACGCCCAGGTCTCCGTCAGTGGCTGGCTAACGTCCCCGGCCCCACAGACATTTGCCTTCACCGTCACTGCTCTGGCTACAGCGGGGAGCCAGGCCCGACTGGCTTCCGGGAGGGGCCTCTGCAGAAGGCCAAGCCACAGGCACAGTGACCTGCACTGTCACCGCCACTGAGTCTCCGGCTGCCCCAGGAGGTCACCTGCAAAGGACAAAAAGCTCCCACCTGCCCTGCGCGGTTGGCGTCTGGCCCTGGCCCCTGGCGACGGGGCAGACGGTGCACTCATGTGGCAGGCTGCTGTCCCCGCTGGCCCTCTCACCGCCCTGATAAGGAGGCCACAGCCTCTGGGTCCCAGGCTCCTTTGGAGCTCAGCCGCCCTTGCAGAACGGAGCCTGCAATTCCTGGTCTGGAAACTTCCACAATCGACCAGGAAGGTGGAGGGAGCTGAAGGGGTGGGTGCCCTCAGCCCCCCTGTGGGTGAGGAGATGGAGTTTCCATGGGCCTGGCCCAACATTCACGGCTGGGGAGGCACAGCAGAGCTGCCCGCGCCCCAGAACCCCTGAGCCGGGGCCAGATAGTGTCATGTATCACACACAAATATGCATACTGGCACATATGCACAACCGCCACGTGTGTACACATTTCATACACTCACAGGCAGACTTTCTGCTTATACGTACATATATGCACACAGGCATACAGCACACGTACAAGATGTGTACACAGGCATATGCTCAGCACACATGTACACATGAGCATGCACACAGAGGTACAGGCACGTTCCCAGCATACACATGTACATGTGGGCATGCACATAGGCATGCACTCAGCACATATGTGTACACACAGATGCACAGGCATAAACTCAGCACACATATGTACGCTTGGGCACAGACACACTGGCACACACTCTGCACATACGTGTACACCTGAGCGTGCACACAGGCACACTTTCAGTACACACGTACACACGCGCATGTACACACACGGACACGCAGACCCAGAGTCGCACTGGGGCTTGCACACTGGGGCCTGCAGCTGCAGAGTGAGCCACAGAGCCTGTGATTCCAGCCCACAGGGAAGGCTTGGTGGGTGCAGCAAACTGGCTTTAGACATGAGGGGACCCCCCAGACCCCGCCCCCGAGGCGCATCACCGCCCCTCCCCTGCGAGGCAGCACAGAGGGGTCCCTGCGGCCATGCCCCACTCCTGTCAATCATGTCAAAGCACGGAGAGTTGGAGAGTGTGGGGGGAGCGAGGTGGCCAGGCTGAGGAGGACCCAGCCTGGGGCTGGTGGGGGCAGTGGGGACTTCCGTCTCGGCTTGTCTCACAATGGCCTCGTCAGTCCCCAAGCCCCGAGTGTGCCAGAGAAGTATGGTAAGGCCCCCTCACAGGGTCCCCGGGAATGAGGTGGGGGAGGGGCTGGTCTGTCTCTGTCCTCCACCCCCACGCATGCAGGCCTGAGCTTGAAGCCCCCCATATCCCCGTGCCCTGCAGGCACTAGAGCAAAGCTCCCGCCTCTCCTCCCATCTCCTGTTCACTCTCCTTCCCAGCAGCCTTCCACTCTGCCCAGGCCCCAGACACTATCTGGCCCAACCAGGGCGAGGGGCAGGAACCTGAGGCTTTCGAGAGCCTCAGCTGCAGCCCCAGGACCCCAGCGGCAGTGGCGGGTATCCCTGGCAGGTGGGCACCTCAGCCTCTGCCCTGTCCATCCCTTTGACAAGTGGTGCTGCTGGTGGTCTGTGTACAAGTGGGCTGCTGCTGCCCCCTCGTGGCCAGACGCGGCTGGCTGGGAGGGTGCAGTGCGGGGGCAGAGGGGCAAGTCTCTGTGCACTTGGGCCCCTGTACTCTTGACTGGCCCTGGGTGCTGGGGCTCCACGTGCTTGCTCGCGGGCTCCTGAGAGACTCAGCCTCATCCCTGCCCCTGTCTAGGCCATTGTTTCCCAAAGCTTTTGGGGGGGGGGGGAAGAGGGGCACTTAAGGCGGTGCTCAGAGCTTACTCAGGGCTTGGGGGATGATATTTGGTGCCAGGGATGGAATCTGGGTCAGACACAAGCAAAACTCTACTATCTCTGGCCCATCTTGTTTGGGTGGTTGGTTTGGGGCTTCTGGTTTTTGTTTTAGAGTTTTGTTTTTGTTTTGTCTGCACTCAGAGCCTGAGTGTGCCACAGCTGGAACCTTGGTCACCATGTGCAAGGCAAGTGGTTTAACTTGTCCTATCTCTTAGCCCCGGCCTCATCTGAGTGAGCCCACCCTGGCAGTCTGTCTGGAGGAGGCGATGCCAATTACCAGGGAGCACAAGCTACAGTGTGGGAGCACCTGGTTTGAGCCCTGGGTTGGACCCCAGAGCATCACTGTGCCTAGAGCATGACCAAGCACCATTCATCTGGTGTGGTCCCCAAATCAACACTGGAACATTCCAGAAACTCAGTAGCACCTGGGGCTCACCCAGGGCAGGGAACAGGTGGACCTTTCCACAACCACTGAGCCTGCACCCCCAAGATCAGCCCCCCAAGGAGTGTGGCATGAAGCTCTGCTGATTCCCGCCTCTGCTGCCACCGCCCACCGTGGCCGCTGACCACAGGTGCTGGGCACTGGGGAAACAGGCCCAACCCCCGGCCTCTTCCTGCAAAAGTGGGGATGGAACAGAACTCACATCTCAGACCCTTCTTTCTCCACTGATAAACTGAGAAATGTTTTTATTTTGTTAACTAAGGGCACAGTAACATTCAGAATAATACTGAATTACTTCAGACACCATAACAATAGGCACGCAGTTAAAAGCAAGGCAGTTACACGCCTGGTTTGTACATCAAAATCAATGACAAATGTGTCTCCCATTATCTTAAAAAATACTGGTGAGATAAAAGCCGAGAGAGCTTAGCTTTAAAACCCTGCACGTAGAGAATAAACAGTCCCTTCGATACACTGATACAAATTGGTCCCAATCTCTCCAACATGCAATCATGCCAGCGTATCACAGCAAGACATTGCAACCCGAGGCAAGGCCCTGCCTCCGTTCCGCGCCACTGCCCTGGGCCCAGGGAGCACTAAGGCCTGCCGCTCCCCCGCTTACCAGCTGAGCTGCCCATGCCCAGGGGCACTGCCAGCACACGCTGCCAGCCAGTAAGACACACTGGGACAAACCCCCTTAGACGCAGTATGTGGAAGCCGATGTGCCCCAGGGTGGCCACGGCACAGCGCTGCATCACGGGGCCAGCGCCACTGAAGCAGCGACACAGGAAACTGAAAAGGCTGAGAACAGCAAAGCTTGTTCCTGACACACAGTCGCAGTTCATCGGCCGTTCCGGGGCAGGGGAAGCTGGGCCAGGTCCTTGGAGCCTCCAGCTAGCGTGGCAGTTAGCCCACGTCTGCAGCCAGGAAGCAGCGGAGCCATGAAGAGCCTGGCCAGGGGTCCGTGGACAGCCAGGAGCTCCCCACAGCATCACTGACTGGAGCTATAAAAACTCCGATGGGGAGAACGCCTAACCCCTAAAACCATGACAGAATGTGGGAGCACTGTGGCCTGCAAAGTCCCCAAACTCGACTGCCCTGTGACCACACTATGCCGTGTTTCCGGCAGCAGGAAGGGCACAGCCGGGTTTCCCGGGAGAGCTCAGGGTTACACTGTAGGCAGGCAGACAGGCAGGCAGGCGTCTTTCAAGATCTGTCATGTTTTCAGCTGTCTGAAATGACACCACTCCTGAACAACCACCAGATGAACAGATGAGAATCCTGGGGATGGATCAGCAGAGCGTGGAGGTTCCATGCCGCAGAGGGGGACACAGGACATACGTGTCCTGCGCCACACATCTCTGGCCTCTTCTTCCGGAAGGAGACATGCCTTGCCTCAGGGCCTGTGGCTGACAGCCGGGAGGTCTGTGTGGCAGTAGCTGGCCCCCTGGCTCTCGGTGGGGTGTGCTCAGCGGCACTCCTCCGGCTGCCCCGCTATGCCCGCGTGGAAGGGGGGACCCGCCAGCAGCAACTTGTCTCAGTCCTTCACCCCAGTTTCGGGTGCCTTTTCTTTAAAAAATAAGGCCTCTAATCATTCACATGTTGAATGATTCAACTTCTATGAAACACGTAGATCAGGTTTTAACCGGAAACAACTGCCAAGTACCAGTCTTGCCCCCACTTTCTCTAGTACAGTCTGAGGCATTTCTATTGATTTTCATAATTTTCTTTTACACGTAACAAAGAAATAAGAGCCCCCCTCTAAATGCAGAGAATGGGGGGAAATACTTAAAAAAAAAAAAAGACTGATGGAAGAAAAGACTGAGGAAAGAAACAAGAATCCCCACCTTATCAGGCCAGTGGGGCCAATCAGGCTTTGCAGTGAAAATATTCTGCTTTACTAACTGGTATAAACATATCATGGTACTGACTACTGTTGCACTTAGACCTTCTACTGAACCAAAAACTTCCCCCTTCTCATAATTGTCACATCAGATTCTATTTGTGGATCCTGAGATAAACCGCGTAGTGATGCTTGCACAACCCGCTTAAAAACTATGAAAGATACTATTGTAATTTCTGATTTTTTTAAGAAAGAAAAAACCCCAGTGAAACAATAGCCGCACAACAGATAATCCAAAAGGAAAAGTTAATGTGTTGTAATATTTGTTTTGCAGCATCAAAAGCAGCAGAGATGCTAAATAGAATTTGCTGAAATTGAAACCATAAATACTGAGATTGACGGATGCCACGTAGCTAGCAACCACGCTGGGGTGCGATGGACCGGAAGCTCTCTGGAAAGACAGAAGGACCGCGGGCACAACCAGAGCTGCGGGCCGGGCCGGGTCGGGCCGCTAGTACTCCCACTCGTCGGACTTCAAGTCGAGATAGCTGAGGATGTTCTGGGCGAGCTTCACGGCCTGCTTCCGGGCGGCCTTGCAGCGCTCCTCCCCCTGCGGGTCCACTGCGTCCAGGGCCAGCAGCTGCTTGGTGAGCAGCTCCTCCAGCCGGATGTAGTTCTTGTCCGTCCGGTTGCCGTCAAAGGCCAGCACCTCTCCCAGGATCTCCGACAAGTGGCCGAGGACGTCCCACACGGCCCTGTGCGGCGGGTGCTCGGGGAGCTCGTCGGGCAGCAGCAGCCGCCGCTTGTCCAGGGCCTCCCGCAGGTCGATGTGGGTGATGAGGGTCTGCACCTCGATCACGGCCCTGCGCCGGGCCTCCCGGATGCAGGGGTTCTTCTCCACGCTCACCTCGTCCAGCTCGCCGATCAGCCTCTGCAGCTCCGTTTTGGAGCTCAGGTAGAGCTCGGCAGGGTTCTGGGCTTGCAGGAGCTCGTCTTTGATTTCTCGCATTCTCTTGAGGATCTTCTCGATTTTCAAAATGGAATGGTTCTGCCTCAGGTCGAAGGCGTGCGTGGAGTCAGCGGCCTCTTCCAAGTCCAAGTATCGCAGCAGCTTGTTGATGTCCTCCACTACCTCCCGGCGGTAGTTCCTGATCTCCACCCGCCCGCACACGTCCAGGGCGTCCAGGTCGGCCATCAGCCCCGAGAGCACGCACGACAGGTGGCGGCAGGTCTCCGTGCTGCTGACGCCCATGAGCAGGGAGATCAGGGTGCCTCTGGCCTTGTTCACCTCGCACATGACGGAATTGATTTTGGCCACGGACGGGTGCGTGTCCTCCGAGAGGGGCAGGGACGGCTGCCTCCGCATGCAGTCCTCCACGATCTCCTGCACCGCACAGATCTTGGTCAGAGCGTGGTACCTGGCCTTGCGCAGCGACACCTTCCCGCCGGTCTTCACGTGGGTCAGCCGCAGGATGATGTCCTGGAGGACCTCCTCGAACTCGTCGCTGCCCTGGCTGCCGCCGCTGTAGACCGGCACAATCTTCTCCGTCACCAGGTCCTGGGCTTCTTTAAAGATGTTCTGGATCTCCAGCCGGTGCGGGTGGTTGGCATTCTGCTCCAGCTCTTTCAGGAGACGCTCCGTCTCCTGCGCCGCCCTCTTCCGCGCCTGCTGGACATCTCCCTTCCCTTCTGTAGCTACAGAGTCTATTTCGAACAGCTGCTTCGTGAGAAACCGCTCCAGTTTCTTATAGTTCTTGTCATCTGAGAGACCGCTGAAGCCAAGGACCTGCTGTTCCACACTCTTGACTTCCTTTTGGATTTCCTGAAGCCTACTAATAGAGGGGTGCTGGTTTCCCATATCCATACTTTGGTTGCGTTCAGTTTCACAAGCACTAGAAGAGGACAAGAAAGGCCATTTATTACACCCCGCAGCAGATCAGAACTGCATGCTCATTCCGTTCTAAATTTCTCTGGGGAGGGGAGCACATCCAGCAGGGGACGAACTCCTGGCTCTGTGTTCAGGGACCGATCCTTGCAGACTGTCTCACGCATGCCAAGTGCCCTACCGGTGGTCCTACAGCTCCAGCCCCTCATTCTAAAAATTTTCTTTCTTTTAAAGAAGATCTACTGGGGCCGGAGGAGCAACAGTTTGGCAGCGAGAGCACTTGTGTTGACCCAGATTCCATCCCCAGCATCCCGTATGGTTTCCGGAGCACCGCCAGGAGTGATTCCTGAGCGCAGAGCCAGGAGTGACCCCTGAGCGTCACGGTGTGACCTAAAAAGCCAAAAAAATAAAGTCTCAAACGGATTTCGTAATAGGTGCACGGGGAGGGGGTGGAATGGAGAGAGTCCAGCAGGCAAAGCATCTCCTCTGCGTGTGTCCAAGCCGGGTTGGGTCCCCCCCACCGCCGCCGCCACGAGCGACCCCCGTGCACACGGCCTAGACCAGCCCCTGAGGACCAAAAGGACCACTCCACAGAAGTAAACGAATAAATACACCCGAAGGGTGGGGACGCCGCGGGGGGGCAGGACACGTGCCTCGGACGTGAGGATCCGAGCTCAACGCCCGGAACACGAAAGGTAAACCAGGAAACTGGCCAGGTGACAGGTGCCCGAGGCTGAGACCGGGCGCCGGCGGGTGGCCGCACCGGGGGTGGCTCCGGCCGGGAACCCGGAAGCGCGGCTGGTCCTCGCGGCGGCCCCGGCAGCGACCAGGCCCCTCCGGCCAGCCGGCGACCCCGGGGCCGCGCACGGTGGAACGGGAAGCCCCTCCCGCTCGGGTCGCTCTCCGGCGACACGCCCGGCCCGGCCCGGCCGCCGGCCCCGCCGACCCCCGACGGTCCCCGGACGCGGCCGGGCGGGGGGAGGGTCCGCTAGGCGGCGCGGCTCCGGGGCTGCGGCCCTCGCGGCATCCCCCACCCGAGCCGCAGGCGCGCTCGGGCAGCCGGTGACGGCCGGCGGGGCGGCGGCTACTGGCCGCGGCGCCCGCCGGGGGCCGCCGGGCCCCGACGCCGCGGGGCTGACCTCACAATGGCCGCGCTCACCTGGGCCGCCCGCGCCATCGCGCTCCGCGTCGCCGCCGCCGCCGCCGCCCGGGCCGAACGTCCCCGCCCCCGCTCCCGCCGCCCGAGCCCCCGCGCCGCGCCGCGCCGCACTCCGGGAAGGCGCACGGTCGGCCGCGCGGCTGCGCGACCTGCCGGAAAGCACCGCGCGCCGTCGCGACGCTGCCGTACGCCGCGGCAGGGAGTCGGGGCCGCGCGGCATGGCGGCCCTGGGGCGCGCGCGCTGGCCTCCCCGCCCGCGCGTCGGCCGCGGCTTCTCGGCCGCCGCCCGCCGACCGGGCGCGGCCGAGCGCGGCGCCGAGCGTCGGGAGACGCCGCCGAGCCGGGTAAGCGCGTGGGGTCGGGGCCCGAGGCGGGCGCGGGGCGCGACCCCCGCCGCCGTGACGTGCGCGCCGCGCTCGCCGGGACCGGCCCGCGGCTCCGCCCCGCGACCTGCCCGCGACCCGGCCCTGTTAGGACTCACGCCGAGTTTCTCTTTTTGGGAAGCGACAGGTGTGTGTCGACGTGCGCGTGTTCCAGGTGTGCGCATGCTTTCCGGTGCGCGTGTCACGCGTGCGACAGAGTGCTGGGCACTGCGTAGGTTACTGCACGGGCGTGGGAGCCCGCACGGGTCCTGCGTATGCGCGTTGCAAACGCAGTCACGGAGGCCTTACGTGCATCGCTTGTGAACTCGCCGGCCACTTACGCAAGTCCCAGCATCTGTGGGTTACTACATAATTGGGTTGCTGCATGCGGGAGTCACTGCATCAGCAGTTTACACCGTCGAGCCACTGCATTTGGGACTTACTCCATAATTGAGCTGTGACAGGTTTGACTTAGCTACATTGTTGCTACCTACTCTGGCTGCTGCGGTCTGCTCAGGTTGCTCCGCAGTCGAGTTCCTGCGACCGTGATTCCAAATGCTGGGGCAGAGCGGCGAGGCTCTTACGCTGGGCTTCTCTGGGGAAGGCCGCTTGGTTTCAGGGGTCCTGGGCCTGGGTTCTGTCAGATAGACATCTCGACTGAGGCATGGAATGAACGGCTTGAGCCTTTCTGGCCCCTTTGGCCTTGGACTCTGGCTCAGTGGTAAGGTGCAGATGTGCTTGCAGGAGACTTGGGTTCGTGCCAAAAAAGAAAAAAAAAAAAAACCTGAGCAAGGCATCCGAGTACTCATTCACTGCTGCTCAGGGCGGCCAGAAGCCTGCTTTGGAAGAGGGTAGGAGCTCTTTTTTTTTTTTTTTTTTTTTTTTTGCTTTTTGGGTCACACCCGGCAATGCACAGGGGTCACTCCTGGTTCATGCACTGAGGAATTACCCCTAGTGGTGCCCAGGGGACCATATGGGATGCTGGGAATCGAACCCAGGTTGGCTGCGTGCAAGGCATACGCCCTGCCCGCTGTGCTATCACTCCAGCCCTGGTAGGAGCTCTTTAAGAACTCTCAGACAGGACAGCGGGGAGGGTGCTTGCCTTTGTACTCTGCCTACCCAGGTTCATCCCCAGCATCCCATATGGTCCCCCAAGCTCTGCCAGGAGGAGTTTCTGAGTGCAGAGCCAGGAGTAACTCCTGAGCATCGCTGAGTGTGACCCAAAACAGTCTCACATGGGAGCCGGAGCGATAGTACACCAGGTAGGCTGCATGCTTGTCTTGCGACTGACCCCTGTTTGGTCCCTGGCACCCATATGGCCACCTGAATATAGAACCAGGAGTCAGCCTTAAAGACCACCATGTGTGACCCCAAAATAAAAACAATTCTAAAATGCACCTGCTGGAGATCAAACCCACATCGGCCATGTGCAATGCCCAATTTTGTGGGGGTTTTATAGGAAAACTGGTTCTTTGTGTTACTTAACGAAGTCTGAGAGGATTCCCATTTATTTCCAGAGATGTATTGTTAACTTAGCCCTTCTGCGTTGTCAGGCTAAGACTAACACCCTGTGTGGACTTAGGGCCTCTGGGTCTTTTGACCATCTCCCTGTCGATTGTCTGTGTGAGCCCAGAGCTGAAACAGAATTTACTTTTTTCTTCTCCTCCCATTGTGGGGCAGAAATTCTGGCCTTGGAAGAGTAAACACCCAGCCGCAGAGATTCCAGGAGTTTGCAGGTGTGTCTCACATGTAGACTTAAGTCAGCTAACATAGAGCCACAAGCAGCAGTAGGTACAGGGGAAACTGAGGCTTCCTCTCTAAGATTCGTGGAGCAAGCCTGGGTCAGCTGGTAGCAAGTGCCTAGTCAGCCCCTCCCTTTTGGTCAAGCAGCCTCCTGGGGTGAAGTCCCTGTGAGGGTCCCCGCACGGGCCTTGCTATCGCTGTGGGAGTCACTGGGGTGCTCTGTGCCCTCCCGGTGACAGCTGACAGGATAGCTTCTCAGAGGGCACGCTGCTGTCTATTCTCCAGGGCTGGGCTGTCTGCAGTGGCTGAATGTGCGCTCACCCTCATCCTCCTCTTCTGCTGAGGCCCTGGCCTTCCCAGGGCTGAGGGGAGGTGCTGTCATGGTTCCTTCTGGGATTCAGGCTTCTGAGCCTGCTGGGGGCCAACAGGGCAGGATGGGCTGGCTCCAGGAATAGGAAGGGGCAGCCCAGGGTGGGCCACAGCCCTAAGCTTCAGTTCCTCAGAAAGACCAGGCTGGAGGTTTCACCCCTCAGCCCAAACCTCAGAAAGCCTCAGCTCAGCAGGCCAGCATACGCACAAAGGCCGGCACACACTCACAGGCCTCCACATGCATAGGCTGGCACACGCACAGGCCGGCGCATGCACAGGTCAGCACACACACACAGACCAGCACATGCACAGGCTGGCATACACACACAGGCCGGCACACGCACACGGGCTGGCACACACACAGGCCAGTACACGCACACAGGCCTGCATATGCACAGGCTTGCACAACTCACAATCCTGCACACTCACAGGCTGGCACATGCACTGGCCAGCGCACGTAACCAGCTGGCACATGCACGCAGGCCAGCACACCTACAGGCCAGCACACGCATAGACTGGCACACGCACAGGTCAGCACAAGCACATAGGCAGGCACATGCAAACAGGCCGGCACATGCACAGGCTAGCACATTCACACTGGCTGGCACACTGGCTGGCATACACACAGGCTGGCCCACACACATAGGTCCACACACACACACAGGCCTGCACACACACACAGGCCCACACACGCACATAGGCCTACACGCACACACAGGCCTGCACACGCACACAGGCCAGCACACACACAGACTGGCACACGCCGATCGGTGTGGCAGGAGCCACGTCCCTCCTCCTCCGACACCCCTACTCCTTGCCTGAGGCTCCTCTCCCCACCCCTGTTTCTTCCCAGAGGCTTCCTCCTCTTCCTCCTCCGCCTCCTCCTCCTCTCCTGCCCAAAAGCAGAGCACTTGCTGTTGTCACCAGCGAAGTCTGCGTCTACCATGGGTTTTCGCCCTCCTCTCCTCGGCCAAGGCCCTTCAGTCCGGAGCATTAGCTGTTGGTCACTTGCAACTGTGACAGAGATCAGCAGAAGCTTGGCCATGTGATGCCTGTGGACACCAGCAGTGATCATGAAGCCCGCTGTGCCAAGTGCACATGGCTTCATGTACCAGACATGTCTGTCCTGGCACCGCAATGGAAGTTGAAAGTATGGAGCGGCCAGTGGAAGGTCCGTGGGTCTGGCCTGGCGGCTCAGCACTGTCACTGTCACTGCCACTGTCCTCCCGTTGTTCATTGATTTGCTCGAGTGGGCCCAGTAACGTCTCCATTTTGTTGTTACTGTGTCTGGCATATTGAATACGCCATGGGTAGCTTGCCAGGCTTTGCCTTGCAGGTGAGATACTCTCGGTAGCTGGCCGGACTCTCCGAGAGGGGCAGAGGAATTGAACCCGGCTCGGCCAGGCTGGCTGTGCGCAAGGCAAACGCCCTACCACTGTGCTATTGCTCCAGCCAGCTCAGCACTAAGGGACTCAGCACTGAGGGACTTGAAATAGCACACACATAAATGTCTCGGCAGCTTGTTCGTGGCAGCGGGGACAGTGGCCAGCTGGAGATGGGGCGTGGGACTAGGGTGGCTAGACCCAGGGGCCGTGGACCTGTGGTGTATGTGGACCTGGGGCCGATTGACCTGTGGCCATGGCCTGGGGGAGGCGTGGCTGCTTTTGGGGGATGTTCTAAAATGAGGCAGTGGCCGCACAGCCTGTGGACGTGGGTGCTGCCACCCTGATGTGCAGACGTGATGGGCTGGGCCCAGGGCCTCACACGTGGCAGATCCTCTTTTGCTGGCTGTCGCCCCAGCCCTGAACTCTTTTTTTAATTTTTTAGATGGCTTTGGGGTCATACCCGGTTGTACTCAGGCATCACTCCTGGCAGGCTCAGGGGACTGTATGTGGTACCAGGGATTGAGCCAGGGTCAGCCATGTGTGAGGCAAGTGTCTATACTGTACTGTCTCTCTGGCCATGTTTACATTCAAAATTACATTAAAAGTTCACATTAACTTTAAAATAAAATAATTAAAAGTTTACATTAATTTTAAAATAAATTATTTGGGGGCTGGAGAGATATACAGTGGGTGGGCATTTGCCTAGCATGTGACCGACCTGGGTTCAATCCGTGGCATCCCATATGGTCCCCCACGTACCACGAGGAGTGATTTCTGAGTGCAGAGCCAGGAGGAACCCCTGAGCACCGCTGGGTATAGCCCCCTAAGTTACTTCTGCGGTGCCATGGAAGCCAGCGCTTCACACAGGGCGTTTGTGCTCCCGCCGAGCCCTGTAATCCAAGGTTGCTGTGTGCTCAGTGCCAGTCGTGCCGCCTTGCCCAGAAAGATGAGCCAGCTGAGCGTGCAGGGCCGCAGCCACTGCCCGGGGCCTCAGGCCAGGGCCTGGCCTCCTCCTCGCCGCTGTGTGGGCCCATGCGGGGAACGTCCTGGCTTTGGGTTTCCTTCCCTGGGGGGAGGTCTTGGCTGTTTCGGGTGGAGCCCCGTTAGTCCCTGGTTGTGTGTGGGGCCCTCTTGGGAGCGGAGTCCGGGGCTGGTGCTCTGCTGCAGCCCCGACCCATGATGTCCGCACCATCTTCTTCAGCTCCTTTCTTAGTTTTCCTTCTGATGGAGGCCCACCAGGGGTGTTTGGAAGCTACTCTGTCTCTGTGCTCAAAGGGTGCTCCCAGTGGTGCTCGGAGACGACGCTCAGCTCAGCTCAACCTGGGGTCAGTGCAAGCAAGGCCAGCGCCTGAACCTCTGCCCCTGGCCCAGGCTCTCTTGGTTTTGTTTTGCCCATGCGGCAGTGGTTGGGTGTCAGCCCCACGGGGGCCTTCCAGGTCCCCTCTGGAGAAGCTCTTTGGGCAGTGTCTCGTCTCTCCCTATGTCATGTCACCATTGAGGTCACTGTCCAGGGGCTGCACACTGGGGTATGGCGATGCAGACAGAGGCCATGCGCTGTCGCCCAGGATCCCCCAGGCCTGCTCACAGCGCCTGAGTGACCTTTACCCTGGTGCTCCTTCCATCACGTCTGTCCCCCACTGGCCTGGCTCATCGTTTTCTTGGGGCTGACACCAAGTCCCCAGGATAGCTTCTCCTGACCCCCTGAGCACTACCGGGTAGGTCCCCCAAAATGAAAAGATTGTCTATACTTTCTGTTGGGCTGGAGCGATAGCACAGCGGTAGGGCGTTTGCCTTGCACGCAGCCAACATGGCCGACCCGCGTTCGATTCCTCCGCCCCTCTCGAGAGCCCGGCAAGCTACCGAGAGGATCTCGCCCTCACGGCAGAGCCTGGCAAGCTCCCCGTGACGTATTCGATATGCCAGACACAGTAACAACAGAGTCTCCAATGGAGAGCGGGTTACTGGGCCCGCTCGAGCAAATCGATGAATAACGGGAAGACTGTGACTGTGACTGTGATACTTTCTGTTGGAGGGCAGCAGTGCCAGTGGTGCCTGGTGCCTGGCCGATGCAACACCAAAGTCCCCCTCCCCCAGTGGTGAGAGACCCCCCACGGCACTGCTGCTGTGGGTGCTCGGTGGAGAATTCGTGTTGGTACCCCCCGAGCCTGCTCATTCGGGCTGTTCCGTACATCGTCTCAGCATGAGGCAGCCCCAGAGCGACCTTGGTGGGTGACCAGCTGCTGAAGACCCCCCTCCTTTCATTAAAGGTCTCCGGCTTCTGCCCGCCAAGGAAGTCCCGCCACGATTGGATAGGACCCCCGGATAAATACTCAAACCTTCGGCCTGTTCACTTCTACATCCCTGAAAACGAATCTCCGCTGGAACAAAAGCTGAGACAGCTGCGACAAGAAACACAAGAATGGAACCAACAGTTCTGGACGAAGCAGAACCTGGCTTTCCGGAAGGTGAGGCGGAGCGGGTGCAGGTGCGGCGGCGGCCACGCGGGGGCGCAGGGCAGAGGCGGCAAGTGCCTGCCGGTCTTGCCTTCCTGGGGGGCGTTTTGCTGGGGGCTCGCGGCCACCCTCCTGCCGCGTCTGCAGCGTGCTGAGCTGTCTGGGGGCTGCACTGCACGGCAGCTCCAAGACGGCCAGGGAGGCGGGAGGCGGGGGGGGGGGGGGGTTGCAGCGGAGAGCGTTTCTCTGATGGAGGAATGCGCCGCCGTTCTTTCCAAGGGCCCTGGGTTGGGTTGTTTCTGGGGCGGTGCTCAGGGCTCACTCCAGGCTCTGTGCTCGCGGGTCGCTCCAGGTGGGGTTCAGGGGAACTTGTGTGGTGCTGGGTGTCAAGCCCGGGCCAGCCCCCTCTGCTGTCGACCGGCTCCCTCGCCCCAGGGATTCCGAATTCTCCACATCTTCCTCATGAATCAGCTAACTGAGAAGGAAGTACAGCTGTGCCAATCCAGAGACGTGCACTGAGACTTTGTTTCGTGGGCTGCACCTGTGCTCAGGGACACTCCTGGTGGGGTGCTGGGGTTCGAACCCCGGTCGCCGCATGTAAGGCGAGCCCCTCTCGCAGTGCTGACGCCTTATGCCCACTGAGACTGTCTTGTCTTTTAAGCCTCTGTCAGATGCTGGGCGTTCGTGCAGCCCTCGGCTTTATGGCTAGGCAGTGCCCTGAGGTCATTAGACACCTGTCAGGTGTGACACTGGTCATGTGTGGGGGGTTGGGAGGCTTTGAGCCCGGCTCCCAGCATTCACACTTGTCTTCTTGCAGGAGAAGGAAGAATTCATCCACGCGCGGCTGAAGGCCAAAGGCCTGGCTCCGGGCTCTGGGTCAGGTCCGTGTGCTTGTTCCCTTGGCGGGTGGGACACCCATGGCTGGGACTCCGCAGCGTCCGAGCCGCTCCTGGCCAGCCGGGGCTTACTGGCCCTAGGTCAGGGCCGAGGCTCGGCATCGGGCTCCTTACCGGGGCTGCTCATGCAGGCCCCTCACTGCGGCCTCTGCTCCCCACACGTCTGTTCGCTTTGGCTTGGCTGTGGGAGGAACGTGATGCCTTTCTCTTTCAGAAAGCGCCGGTGTGTGGAGCCCAGTGTCCAGCAGCCGCTCGGGGTCCTGGGCTGCTCTTATTCTGTCCGTGGCTTCCTTCCCCTTAAATCTTTTGTTTTTGTTCTGGGGGAGGGGCACACCAGCAGTGCTCAGGGCTCACTCTGACGGTGCTCAGGGATCACTCGTGGACGGGCTTCGGGGACCATATGGGGTGCTGGGGATCGAACTCATCAGCACGGCAGGTGCCTGCTCACCGTCCTGTGTCTCCGGCCCCTTCCCCGTAAGTCTTGATGTGTGACTCCTGATTGTTTTTCAGGTCCCAAAGCTTCACTGAGCGCAGAAGAAATGGCCGACTTCTATAAGGAGTTTCTAAGTAAGAACTTCCAGAAGCACGTGCTTTATAACAGGTGGGTAGGTCGGCGGCCTGCCTTCACGTCTGTGCTGGACAGGGCCACTTTATCACCCCATTAGTAGCGTTCACATTAGCCCAAAGGTGAGAGTTGTTCTGAACTTTATGCTTTTTGAAGAGTCACACCTTGCAGTGCTCCGAGCTACTCCTGGCCCTGTGCTCAGGGCCTCATGATGCTCGGGGTCAAACTTGGGCCTCTAACATGCTCGACCTATGTTTGGCCAGTTGAGCTGTTTGTCCACCTTTTTTCTGTTTTGTGCAGTGGAGTTTGGGCCAGTCCTGGAGCTCGGGCTATTCCCGCTCTGCCTTGGGTGGGGCCCACACCCATGTGCTTTGGGCTGTTCTCGTGAGTCCGCAGGCTTTAGGCCCCGGGATTGTGGCTTGGCTGCTGGCCGCTGCCCCCGCTCAGGGCTCCGGGCCTCACGGACACAAAAGCCCTCCTAGGGCTGCCACAGCGAGCCGTGACCGGGCAGAGTGGGTACCCCCAGGGCCCTGCCCTGGCCCTGCCCACTGCTCCTGTGAGCTCGGTTCCCCTTGGAACCGCCTGTCACGTCACGAAGCCTCGCTCAGAGCTTCAGGCGGGCATGGAGCAGCCTCTCCCATGGAGCACCCGTCCCCGTCCCCGAGCTGTCACGCGTGTGCTGAGAGCGGCTGCGGGGCGCTGACCTCGGCCTCTTCCCGCAGAGACTGGTACCGGCGCAACCTGGCCATTACCTTCTTCATGGGCAAAGTGGCCCTGCAGAGGGCGTGGCGCTGGCTCCGCCCGAAGCCCGAGAAGACCCGCACCTAGGACCCGCACATCTGGACACGGATGCAGCGGGCTGGACCCGCACCTCTGAGCCCGGCTGGGTGCCAGGCCCTGGGGGTACATCATGGCCTCACGAGGGCCGAGGTGCTGGGCAGCGCCTCAGGCCATGCGTGAGCCTCACAGAAATAAATGAATCCATGAAGCCGTTTGCCCGTTGGGTTCTGTGTGGGTCCCCACCCGATCTGACTCGCAGTGGGTGCACCCGTGCCCCTCACAAACTGGCCTCTGCAAGGACTGCTCCGAGGCACCGCGGTGTCCCCAGAGACACAGCTGTCATGGACGCTTCACGGGTGCTCGTGCCCATGTGGTGGGGGAACCCCCACTCCCGTTTCCCAGACAGTGTCCTATGCATGTGCGTGAGTGCACACACACATGCGCGCGCACACACACACACAGACCCGACCTATACACGCACACAGTCTACACACTCATGGACTTGTCCTTATACTCCTTCATGCTACACACACACTCTGACACTCCTTCACACACACATATATCCTTTACACATTTAGACCTGACCTACACACGTGCACACACACAAACATAATCCTGTACCCAGGCCTTCACACACATGGACCTGTCACACACACACACACAGATACATAATCCTGTACTCCTTCACACATACGGATCTGTCTTACATACTCACACAGTCCTACACACCCACACGTACACACATATCCTTTACTCCTTCACACACACACACACACACACACGGAGTCTTACAGAATCAACAGCTGTACACACCCATCTGTACACACGCATAATCTTATGGCCACTCCTTCACATCCCTATGTACACTCATGCACCTGGGCCTGGTCGGTGCATGTGTGTGTTGCTCACACACGCAGGGTGCGGGGCCACATGGCACAGCGGCTGGGGTGTCTCCCGGAGGGATGGGTTGTTGCCAGGCCCCCGTGTGTGGAGCAGGCAGTCTACGACCCTCCAGAGGTGACGAGTGTCAGACTAGGCTGCTGCTGCCAAAGAGAAATTCCAGAGACCAGCGGGAGCATCCCAGGAGCCCTGGAAGGGGCTGGGGGCTCTCTCCCTGTGGTGCCCGGGATTTAAACTCCCGTCTCCTCAGGGCAAGCGCCTGACCCCAGGGTTATCTCTTTGGCCCCCCCAAGGTCTCACATTCTTTGGGGGCACACCTGGCAGTGCTTATTGCTTAATCCCAGCTCTGCACTCAGGGATCACTCCTGGTGGGCTCGGGACCCTTTGGGGTGAGGGGGATTGACCTCGTGCTTTACTGGCGCTCCAGCCCCAGGTCTCGCGTCCCAGGAGTGCAGCGGTGCCCACTCAAGGTGTCCTGAGGTCCTGAGGACGACAGGAAACTAACCAGCCACTGGATGCAGGGTTAATAAAAACAAAACACCTTACATTTGTGTGGATATGTTTCTCGGGGGCACCTGGCGGTGCTCAGTCAGTTACTCCTGGCTCTGCACGCAGGGGTCACGCCTGGCAGGTGCGGGGGACCACATGGGAATCGAACCGGGTCGACTGTGCAGGCAAGGCTAGCGCCCTGCCCGCTGTACTATGGCTTCAGTCCCCGAGTGTTGTCTGCCTGGTCGCCGTTTTACTGGGGGGAGGAGTGGGCCACACCCGAAAGTCCTCAGGGGCCACACACTGCAGTGGATCACGGGGACCAGCCACCTGCACGGCAACGGCCTCAGCCCTGTGCAGCCCACACCTGGTTTCTCTTTGGCCAGATTGTCAAGACCCAAAGTCAGGCTGGGGAACTGCCCGGAGGGTAAAGCACACAGGGAGCTGCTTCTCCTTTGCTGCGGGCGTGGCCCTCCAGCCCCAGCTGCCAGGTGCCCATTGTGTGGAGTGGCCAGTCCTGGGGGTGAGAGACACGCACTGGGTCAGCCTATTAAGCTCTCTGGCCAGTGATGCGTTCATTAAAATATATAATACCCAGAAACAACGGACTCCAAGACCAGGGTCTGCTGAGGACCTCCCTACCCCAAGGTCAGACGGCCCCTTCCCAGCCCCGCCCCTCCAATGCCTCCTCCCAGCCCCGCCTCTGGCCCCCCTCCTGCCTCCCCCAGCCCCGCCTCTGGCCCCAACCAGGCCCCTCCCCCTGCCCCTCCCTTCCTCCCCACCCCGCCTTAGCCCCACCCTCTGCCTCGAGCCCCTGCCCTGCCCGCTGCCCCGTCAGCGCTCGGAGGGGCTTACGGTCCAGCTCCAGCATCCGTGGCTGTGGAGGCGACTCTCAGCAGAGGCCCTAGCGGGCGGCCGGAGTCCTGGTGATGCTTGGGCCTGCAACCTTCCATTCCGCTGGGGTCGTCGCGGCCCATAGGAACTGCAGCTTCGAAGCTGCACCTCAGTGAGCATAGGGGTGCCATCGGGGTCCTGCACAGAAGCTGGACACCGACTGGCTGCCACACGGCCATCTCCCCGATTCGAGCGGGCCTCCTCCTCCCTGCTCAATCCGTTGAGGATGAGACACCACCGCTAGGGATGTAAAGCGCGTGAATTCTATAGGCATAAGTGAGCCAGGGCACACAGCAGGGTCCTGTGGCCGAGCACCATCGCTGCCCCCCGCCCGCAGAACTGCCCGTTCTCCCCGACTGAACGTCCCTCTGCTGGCCCCACCCGCCATGCCCTCCCCGCCACCTCTGCCCCCTGGGCCTTGGCTGAGTGACGCAGCACACTTGGCCTGTGAGCGCCGCAGCCCGTGGAAATGGGTTTGCTGGCAGATACCCAGGTCCTGGGCTCCACCTGACCAGGGCTGCCCACTGGTTCTGTTCTTTTTGGGGTTCTGGGTCCCTCATTGTGTGATGCATGGGGAGGGGGAAGGGGCGTCCCCACGGCCACCCTTGCCAGGCACATGCCTGCTGCCCTGCGCCCACCAGTGCTGAGCCCCTGTGCCCAGCAGCCTGCCCTTCCCCTGTGTTGTTGGAAAGGAATCGATCCGTCTTCCAAACCATTTCAAGCGGCGTCTGGGCGCCTGGATCATTGATTTGCGGTGACAGCTGTTTTCACCTTGTCCTCGGTAGGTCCATGGGTGGAAAAGTACAGACCAAGCGCTGGAGCGGCCCCGACGTGCCTGCTTAGGGTGGGCAAGAGCAGGAACCAGTTCCTGTCCAGGCTCTGGGGGCTCGCGAGCTCCTCCACCCCTGCACACTCCTGCTCAAAGCCAGACCCCGAGGGCCAGAGAAGAGACAGCTGAGGGCTTCAGGGCTCACTGTGATGCTGCTGAGCCAGGTTCCATCCTGACACCACGTGTGGTCCCCCAACTCCACCAGGGGCCACTCCTGAGCGCAGAGCTAGGAAGATCCGGTGAGAACTGCCTGTGGGTCCTCAAAACCAAATCAAAACGGGTCTAAAGTAGGCTGGAAAGATTTGCTCGGCGGGTGCGGCCGGGCCTGGAGGAGCCTCTGACCGGAGACGCCCCACGTGCTCGCGAAAACACCTAAACACTGTGGCCAGGGTCTCTGGGGCAGGACAGGCTCCTTGCGGTGGTCCCTGGACCCCCTCCTCCCTCCTGCACGTTGGGACCAGCCTCTGCCTCTTGCTCCTCCATGGACTGTCCAGTCAGGGACGCGGCCCCGTGGGGCAGAGCTTGTCCGGACCCCCTGGAGTGCCCGCTGGTAGGGTCGTCACAGCCTTCCCGGGTGTACAGCGGAGGTGACCTTGCGACCCTAGTCCCAGACCGTCGGGTTCCACAGGCCCCGCCCTCTCCACTCAGTCGCGAGGCTCCTATTGGCCTGGACCACGAGGCTCCGCCCCCAGAGGCAGGACGGGGCGGGGCCTCCCGAGAGGCGGAGCGGGGCTTCCCGAAGATCTGCTGTCTAGCCGGGGTGAGCACCTGACCCGAGTCACCGGGCTTGGTGACAGAGGACTGAGCCTTGGGGCTTGCACGACTGGGAGCAGCACAACTTCTTCCCCTGCCGTGTTTGGTGGATGGAAGTGGGCACTGCACAGACGCTGGCCAGTCCCGGAATGCCCAGCTAGCGAGGTCCACACCGGCCTAGGGGCAAAGGGGTCGAGGAGCACCGAAGTGCCCCAGGACATGGCTTGCGGCACGAGCTGCCCATCCCAGGTGGTAGTTGTGGGTGTTCCACCTTCAGTGTGCCTCGGAGCCGCCAAAGGCATGTGGTCCCTGTCTCCTCTATGGGGTCAGAGGGCAGAATGTGGGGACCAGTGGGGCAGGGGCTGTGCCCTCTGGGACAGGTGATGGTCCCCGGGAAAGGAGGTGTGCTGAGTCTGCTCAGCATCAGCAGGGACCGCCACAGTGACTAAGGGGGCGTGTCATGGACGCTGGAGGGATTACCAGCACAGACCCGCTTCTAAAGACAGGGGACCCCAGGTGTTTCTTCGAGGGGACAACCCAGGGGAGCACCCAAAGGCTGTGTCTCATCCTAACCCCATCCCTGGGGTCATGACCTTGCGAGGGGTGGGGATTCTCAGATGTGACAGCCTGGGTTGGGTGGGATGCCATCCGAGAGAGGGAGGGTCTGGGACAGGGACTACCAGAAGGGACCCACTGAACTTGGAGACAGCAAAGAGTGGGGTGTTCGGGCCAAGAGCAGAGACATCTCCCTGCCGCCTGGTGCCTCAGGCCAGCAGGGCGGAGGTTCTGCAGAGCCCTGGGGAGTGATGGCTGAGGCTGGCGCAGGCCCATTGGTCTGCACTGGTGCAGATACAACAACAGCTTCTGGAAGAGTCAGCAGCTGAAACCTGGCCAGGCTGTGCTCTCTGAGCGAGGGGGCAGGCTTCAGTCTGGCTGGCCAGACAGAGGACGCATCTCCCTTCTGCCAGCCTCAGAAGGGAGGACGAACATTCTACCCATCAAGCACCAGTGGGTGCCCCAGACAAAAAAAATCATTGACGAGGCCTGGAAGGTAGGCCTGCACCGCATGGCTCCCAGCACAACTGTGGGGCCGAGGCCGAGTGCTGTCAGGGCCGTGGCTTTCTGCTCTGCAGGTTCTGAGGTCCGAGGGATCCAGCACTGTTAACCAAGTATCACCAGGAGCAGACCCTCAGTCCACCAAGCACTGCTTGGGAGACCCCCAAACACTGATGAGACAGTCAGTGAAACGAACATGATGAGCAGCGGAAGATCTTTGGAGATTTTTCTTTTGTTTGGGGGCCACATCTGGCAGTGCTGAGGGATTACTTCTGGCCTGCGCTCAG